TCAGTACTCCATATTTCATGAGTTCTCTGTTTGTGCAGCTCTCTCCTCTCCATTACTCTGTCCACTAAATTCTAGCTGCCTTGAGCTCTCCAGACACTCTGGCCCATTTCCTCAACTCATGGAGTCCACTGGGATCTGGCTAAGTCTCCCTTCATGTTGCTGAAGTCTAGACACTATCTCAAGGCAGTAAGCCAAGGCAACTCAAGGCCCCTCCTTGTTTGTTTCCCATCTCTCAGAGACCATCATCATTTATGACTTACTGTCCAATGTCTTGAAACTCTTTTTTCATATATATTTTGTCTGTTTAAAAAATTGACTTAGGTTTGTCTGTGTGTGTGTATGTATAAATTCAGTACCTGTTACACCAACTCTAGATGACACTTTCCTGGCTTTTTTAAATTCAGTTGTTTTATTTAAGCCATTTTATGAGTGTAGGTAAACATTTTACACTGTAAGTTCTTAGAATGTCAGTGGTTATCTCAGAGGATGTTGCAGCAGTCTAAAAACAAAGGTTTTTTTTTGTTGTTGTTGTTGTTTTCTGTTTTTTTCTAAAATTTAATCTCTTTCTGGTCAGGAGAGATTTAGAACCACATATTGACTAACACTTAGAGCAGCAGTATTTTATATATGTTTCGCATATTCTGGATTTAAAGGGCTTTTCACGAACATTCTCTCATTTGATTATCTATGGTTAAGGCCTATATGCAAACATACTAGAGCTTAGGAGACATGCTACCTTACCCAAACTCGCACAGCTAACAAGTGCTAGAGCTAGGTCATGAACCCAGGCTGCCTCCCTCCCAGACCATTCTTGTAACCACTAGTCTACCCTTCAGGGCAGTGGGACACTCTTCTGAGTCTTTTGCTGCCTTCTGACTCTTTTAAACGACCTCAGCTCGTTCTACAGTGACAGATTATCTCACATATTGTGCGCTTTTGGAAATAATGCTCTTGTGCTATTGCCTAATGCAAGGCAAGGATTTCAGGTGGTGATGCTTATTGGGTGGTACTGATAACATCAGGGATATTATTCAAAGATAGATGAATGGCTCTGTGCACAATGGATAGTGCATTGGACTTCTAAAGATAGATGATACCTTTGATGATAAATTCATACTATACTGGGTTAATTTTGTCATAAACTATTTTATATGAATATTCATTTCTGAGTTCTTCCTATATAAAATTTCAACCCCTAACAATTTCCAAGATCTACCATCTCATATTCCTCTTCTCTTCCTTGGTTTTTTCTCTTTAATACTTATCACCAGTATATATATATTTTTTAATAAATTTATTTATTTATTTATTTTTGGCTGCGTTGGGTCTTCGTTGCTGCACACAGGCTTTCTCTAGCTGCGGCGAGTGCAGGCTTCTCACTGTGGTGGCTTCTCTTGTTGTGGAGCACAGGCTCTAGGCGCACGGGCTTCAGTAGTTGTGGCACACGGCCTTCAGTAGTTGCGGCTCATGGCCTTCAGTAGTTGCAGCGTGCAGGCTCTAGAGCACAGGCTCAGTAGTTGTGGCACATGGGCATAGTTGCTCCCTGGCATATGGGATCTTCCTGGACCAGGGCTGGAAACCATGTCCCCTGGATCGGCAGGCGGATTCTTAACCACTGTGCCACCAGGGAAGCCCTATCACTAATATATTAATGTTTTTTGCTTCTCTTGTTTATTGTCTGTCTCCTTCACTAAAATATAAGTTCCATAAGGACACACAGTTTTGTCTGTTTTGCTCACAACTGTATGTCCTGTACCTATTGAGTAGGAAATCAATAATATCAGTTAAAATTTACATTTACATCTTGGAATTTATGTTATTTTGATGATTGTTGTGTAAAGGAGTGGAGAACAGTATCTGAGACTAAGTTTTCAGGAGCATTAGGATCTACTTGTACATATTCTCACTGCTATTGGACATGTATTATCCATAAGAGGCTAAAGCGTATAAGAAGAAGATAAAGTCACTAGATGAGACAACCGTCTCAGCATTGTTCAGGAAGATTGCATTTGCATGTTAGCTTCTACCCTCTCTCCTGATAACACCATCAGCTCTCAGGGTTGTCATGTTATGGAGGGATGGACCTTTACAGGGGAGGTAGTGGTACAGTAATTAGCAGCACGGCCACTGGTCACAGAATGCTGGGGTTCAATTTTCAACTATTCTATTTACTAGCTCTATAAATATTAGAAGTCACTATTATTAAATGCCAAGAATTTTTATCCAGAGACTTCAAGGGATTTTTCAACCCTTTGAAACTGTGTTCAAACCTATTGTGTGTAGGAGACGGATGCATCTTTCTTGGGAGGTCTACAGTTTTCATCAGATATTCAAGGTCTGTCAGTACGTACAATACCCTGGGAATCAAAGATCAAGTGATACTGTTATAAATAAATCCCCCAAAGTGTATTCTTTTGAATTGGATTAAACTCCCATAAGGGCAGCCAGAGTACTAATTTTTTGCAGGAATTTAATATTTCTATGTTTTTCATCCTCAAATCTACATAGACCAGAGCTATAAGATAACTGTAACTTTACTATTATTATAATCACCTTTTCACAGTTGAGGTTAAGTAATTTGCCCATACTAACATGATGGAGACAAGAAAACCTCATACATAAATCTACAAAAGAAATGATCACATTTTACTGTCACTGATACCTATGTATCTCTTCTTTGAGATGTGCTTCCCTGAGAGTAAAAGCATCAAGCCTTCTTCATTCTGGCAGTCTCAGGATCCGGAAAGTGTAAAGGACATACTACATGTTCAATATATGTTTGTTGTATAATAATTAAACTGGATATTAGACATAGATCTTCTGATTATAAATCTCCAACATATTCTCATTTCCTGAAGTCACACATCTTGTTATGAAATTAATCTAAAGGGGAGTGCCATCCCTTTGCTAATGTACTGTTCCAGCATTTTCTCTCACTCAATATCTTCCTCAGCCAGGGTGTCAACTATTAAGCTAACACATATTCATGTCATAGAAAGAAAAGTAAAGTAAAACATGAATCAAGAGTCTAATAAAAAGCGAAATATACATTTTGTTTCCATTGATAGCATACGGAAACTAAATCAAAGACCAGTCACTTAGGAGTACTTTATGTCTTAATAATCTCAAACAACCAATCACAGAAAACCTCCTGTGTTATTATTTAGTGATCTGATCATTCTAATGGCCACTAGTTGCATTCACTCTGTTCACCTGGTATCTGCATCACATACCATATTTTCAAATCTTCCTTTCTGATACCTTAATATCTCTGTTGTATTTCCTGATTATGTTCTCCTGGCATATCATATTATTCCACTAAATTCCTTCCTAATACATTTCTCCCTGACACATCTTCCAGTCAGTTAGATGAAGAGCATCCATCTAATCTGGGAGCTCTGTGAGGAAAGTAAGGGGAGCCTACTGGCAGAGAATCAAGCTTAACAGGTGAGCAGAAAAGAGGTGAATAAGAATGTTAGGAAAGAAGGAAAAAAAGATGGGCAACAGGATCACTAGGTAAGAGTAATACTGCTATGTTGATTTTTTTTCCTTATGAATTTCCAGCACAGCATCCAAGGAATATTGGTTAATGAATGTGTAAATACTCTCTTCATTAAATCTAAGGGTAAGAGAAAATTGTTTTTAATGTCTTGAGTATACTGCCTTTCCTTTCGTCCCCCGTCCCTCCCTCCTTTCCTTCTTTCTTTTTTCTTCTTCCTTTTTAAACTCAGCTCTTATATTCTGTACTTTGAGAACTACACTGAGTAAAAAAGTTGGGTCCCCAAATTTCCCAAAGTTTGCGCAAAGATGTATTCTGTACTTCATAACAAGAAGACATTCCTGAGTATGCTACTAAGTCTTGTGGGGCAAGCTCCATCCGACTATGAGTATATAAGCAAATATGGGAAGAATAAAATTTCATTAACTAATGATCTTCTCAGACATTGGACTATTAGGAAGATTTATAGGCAAAAAGTTGTATAACAAGGACATCCTAGTCCTTCTAAAATAATTCAGATTATCCAAGATCCATTAAATTCCACATTATATAAATTCAAAGTAATTCTTATTCTCAAATTTTGACATTTGCTTACACAACATCAAACATATTTATATTTGTGAAAAACAAAGTTTACTTTCTAAATAAGAAATTAAAAGGCATAACTCTTGAACTTCATAGATGAATATATCTAAACTCTAATAATTTTGTTGTGCAAATAATGCCAGCAAAATGATAGAGTGTTTCAAATCATTCAGGTTAAATTATAGGAAAGAAAAAACAACAGTATTATTAATTTAACTCTTTTTTAAAATGATACTGAATGTGGTTTGAAGAAAAAAAACAGTATGTTAGCCCTTATTGTTTCTTAGTAAGAAGGAACATTTATGTGTATTTAAAATTTTTGAATGTAATAATATATTAAAATTATTCATATGCTTCCTAGTATTGGTTATACGAGGGATTAATACTTAATTTTTGTTTACTTGGAAGGCCATTTAATAAGTGCCTTTGCATTATTAAAACTGATTTATCAAACAATAATGTCTATGATTGTGAAAAGTCATGTTACTTGAATTATCCAGAGTTCCTTTGACCACAGGTTATTCTTAAAGGTATTGGAGAATAACCTCAAGCAGCACTTGCAAATTCAGATATCATAAACACTTCCAAGTTTCAGTTCAAAAACACAAAGTGATTTCACAGGATAATGCTTTATTAAAAAATAAAGCCTGTGTTTTTAGAAAAGCCCTAGTGTCTTTGAATTATGTATAAAAGAATTATTTTGAAAACCTAAAAAATGCCTCTAATTTCCCATTTAACAGTAAATATTGCATGCAAAAAGACTCTAGCAGAGTTTCTAAACAAGTATTAAAATGACCAACTGATCAGTAATTTGTATCACTTTACAGAAAAGATTTGACAGTAAATTACTGAGTCTCTATGTGCATGCTACAGCATAGTATGTTCAGAGTCAAAAAATAAAGTAAAATGCAATTACCCTAAAAGACATTTCAAGATTCTCTCCACCCCAGATATCCATTCCTGCATCGTAAGTTCCTATCTCTTCAAAGTAGTTTCTGTCAATAGAAAATAGGCCACCAGCCATAGTAGGGGTCCTAGTTGAAAAAAAACAAAAAAGAAAAGAATATCTTTTGAAAACAGTGTGTGGAGTTTAATGAGACTACAGCAAATATTTTTGAGACATTTTAAATTAAAAAAATAGTACTCAAAAATCTCAAACTGGAAACATAAAGCCAAGTTGTTAGAGGTTTTAAAATTAATAAATAGCATTTTATTTCACACTTTCTGTAACACTAAATTTAGATTAGTCTATATTTTTCTTACAGGTGATCAAACAGATACAAGGAAGGAACACTGGCCATTTAAGACAGAGGCATATACATCCTTTCTGAAAGGCATAGTGAAGAGAAGTTAGTGCTCTTAGCACTATCCTTAAAGAGATGAACTGGTCATGAAACTACCAGTTGTCTTTTGTCACCTAATTATAAATTATTTGAATATGAACTCTAGAAATGTATGGAATTGGTTTCTCTATGAAAAGATCTATAGCCTACTTAAATATGAAAAATATTAAATGCTGTAAAATGTTTATAGGCAATAAATATCTAATGATAGTCACATAAGTATAAGTACCATAGAACTTTATATCTAATTGTTTACAGCTGTTTACCTAGTTAAAATGATAGAATGAATCATATAACCCTATGGATAAACATAAATCCTGTATGCTATTCAGTTTTAGAAGGACATTTGGCCAAGATCCAAAACTTTTTACTAGGAATAAATGCTTTTGGTTCTCATATTCAAACTTTCTCTATAGAAACTAAGAAGTCAAGTGTTAAGTTTCAAAAAGAATAATTAATTTTTAATTTTTAATCTGAAAAGTTTCATTAAAATCAGTGGTTAATGTGTGAACCACACAAGTTTTCTGTATAAGCAGTGTGAATTGAAACTGAAAAAGAAAGTTCTAGTTGTTCACAAATGAATCTATACTAGCAATGATTATTTTTGAATAGATTATTTTTGAATAGTTTTTGAATAGATTATTTTTGAATAGATTTTCAACCTTTGTAGCACATTAGCAGCACCTGAAGCACCTTTAAAAAATACATTTCCATGCTTGGGTGCCACTCTCTGCAGATTTAGATTTAATTGGCCAGGAGTGCGGCCAGATCTTTGATATTGTATAAAGTTCCCAGATGAGTTTACTGTGCTGCTAAAGATGAGAAACTGATCTAGTAACTTAGATTTGGAATGCTCATCCAGGTACAGCTGACCCTTGAACAACATGGATTTGAACTGCTCGGGTCCAACTATATGCAGATATTTTTCAACAGTAACTACTACAATACTACACAACACATGGTTGGTTGAATCCTCTGATGTGGAGAAACCTTGGATACCAAGGACTGACTATAATTTATACTCAGATTAACACCTGAGTTATTCAAGGGTAGTTTGAGATTGTTAGAAAACCAAATGCTCTATTTTTCTCAAAATTATATCCTCTTCTGCCACCGGATATGATCATGTCCTCTAACTGAACAGTGTAGTTGATTGAAAAACTACCAAATAATATTGTACTTGGATATCTACCATATCACAGAGTTCTCTATTTCTCCCAGTGCTCTCACTGTTTTATACTCAGGTAATTAACTGTCCATCATTTGGAGTAGCAGAGCCTCACTTGGTCTGAGCTGTTTTATTACTTTTGGTCTTGCTGGGTTCCTATCAAGAACAGTATCATTGACCTAACGAGTAATAAAGAGAAACACTAACAAAGCTAAGCAGATGGTAATTATGGAGTAGCCACGACCCTCACCTGATTGGGGTTTTGGAACTCCATGGAAATAACTGTATAAGGTATTACAGTGCTGAACAGTCTAATGATATGAGGAACAGAAATTGCTGTAATTATCCTATCATAATGTAACCAGGTGCTTAAGAATGTTAAGGATGCATTTTTAACGATCAGAGTGCCTGTTCACTTATCTATTTACTAATAGGGAACTAATGCATTTAACTTAAATACATGTATTGACTTTCGTCTTACAGTTTGTGATAATTCCTACAAATATGTGAGAAATATATTATAAATGGCTACAATAAATTATATACTTAACCATAAAAATGACTCAAATAAGTTTTACTTTTAGTTGAAAAGTAACAAAAGCTTAAAAAAAATTGCTTAAAAAATTCCTGTATTTTCTGAAGATGGATGTTTCTAGGGAGAATATTTTTTTGTGTATTTGCAATGTCAGTTAGCTCTCTCAAACAGTCCGGGGATGGTGCCTTAAGTAATATCTACAGACACAGACAGTGTTGTGTAGCATGTTCTGTTCTAAGTTAACTGCTTTGTAATGTTCCCCCATGAACTATTTACATATTCCTGTGCAGACCTTAAGTGTTCAGGGTACCTAGAAAATTAAAAATCTTGATTATAGTTGAGTTAGCTAAAATTGTCTTTTTAAGGTTGTGTCTCTGCAATGTCAGACCAACCAATTCCATCAATTTTATTGGGGAAAATATAATCAGCCCAATGGCTGCAAATATTACCTACCACACAGTAAGTAGGTGAAGATGAATTGAGTTAATAGAACTAAAGCACTTGGCACAGTGCTTGGTACACTATAAAAAGTTAATAAGGCTGGGTAATACATCTTTCTTGTTGTTGCTGATGTTAATCATTCAATCAAAATCTTAAGTGTCCTTCAATTAATTTTGGCTCCCCATATACATGTTGTCATTTTGGATTTCAAAATCATTTAAAAACACTTCAGATCCAAGAGGTTGAACTCTGCCTCTCTGAACACACCTTTTAATTTTTTAACCCCTCCTATTTCAATCCTATGGAAGTCACTTTTTATCCTTCATTGATGGTTATCATTCCTTAGCTACTCCATATTCTCACAGAATAACTCCCTGCAGAAATTGTTTGCTTCCCTCCTCCCACCCCCTCTCCAAGACCCTGCCATGTCAGCGAACACCTAGCTGAGCACCCTAGGTTCTCTGCCCTTGCCTGACTGACCCCATTCTCTTTTTATAAATATTAGTTCTTGGGTAAACTTACCCTTCTCATCTACCTCTGCTCCTAAGACCTAGAGAATCACTAAAAAAGTAATAAGCTGAGGTCATCTGGTCGGGCTACAAGTCCATGTTATTGACCCTCTGTTAGTCCACAAAGACCTAACAATCCTTTTACCTCTATTTGTTCACCTGTCTCATTTTTAACTGAATATTTTCCAAAAGTTTTGGACTATTCTCAAGAAGTTGAAGATTGAGGCAATGCATAAAATCTAAATTCTCTCAATCATGAACTCTAACCTCCCTCAATCTCTACGTTAATATGTGTATGTTTCTCAGGGCCTCTTCCTTCCTCTTGTCTCAGAGAAAAGAATGTCTCCTTTCCTCTCACTGTGGGATAGCATTCACCCTTTTGCCCTCAGCCGGCTCTTTTCTGACTATAAGCATACTTTTTTTGTTTCTATTACCCCTTGATTTACTGAGATTTGCAGATATTGTGTATTTTACAAATTGAAGGTTTGTGGCAACTCTGAGTTGAGTAAGTCTATCGGCATAATTTTCCCACAGCATTTGCTTACTTCATGTCTCTGTCATTTTGGTAATTCCACACTATTTCAAACTTTTAAATTATTATTATATTTGTTGTGCTGATCTGTGATCAGTGATCTTCGATGTTAACTATCGTAGTTAGGTGCACCACGAACCACGCCCATATAAAACAGTGAACCTAATCAATAAATGTTGTGTGTGTCCTCACTGCTACACCATCTGGCTGTTCCCCTGTCTCTCTTCTTTTCCTTGGGCCTCCCTATTCCCTGAGACCAATTAATAATCCTACAATGATCTCTAAGTGTTCAAGTGAAAGAAAAAGTCCTACATCTCTCACTTTAAATCAAAAGCTAGAAATGATTAAGCTTAGTGAGGAAGGTGTGTTGAAAATCGAGATAGGCCTAAAGCTAGGCCTCTTGTGCCAAACAGCCAAGTTGTGAATGCAAATGGCAAGTCCTTGAAGGAAATTAAAAGTGCTACTCCAGTGAACACATGAATGGTAAGAAAGCAAAATAGCCTTATTGCTGATACGGAGAAAGTTTGAGTGGTCTGGATAGAAGATCAAACCAGCTACAAAATTCTCTTAAACCCAAGCCTAATCTAGCGCAAGGCCCTAATTCTCTTCAATTGTATGAAGGCTGAGAGAGGTGAGAAAGCTGCAGAAGAATGCTTCTAAAGCTAGAAGAGGTTGGTTTATTAGGTTTAAGGAAAGAAGTTGTCTCTATAACATAAACCTACAAGGTGAAGCAGCAAGTGCTGATGTACAAGCTGCAAATTATCCAGAAATCTAGCTATTATTGAAGTTGGCTACACTAAAACACAGATTTTCAATGTAGATGAAACAGCTTTATATTGGAAGAAAATGCCATCTTAAGACTTTCATAATTAGAGAGGAGAAGTCAATGCCTGACTTTCAAAGCTTCAAAGGATAGGCTGACTCTCTTGCTAGGGGCTAAGGAAACTGGTGACTTTAAGTTGAAGCCAATGCTAATTTACCATTCTGAAAATCCCAGGGCCCTTAGGAATCGTGCTACACCTACTCCACCTGTGCACTATAAATGGAACACCAGAGCCTGGATGATAGCAAATCTCTTTACAACATGGCTTACTGAATGTTTTAAGCCCACTGTTGAGACTTACTAAGGTGAACCTGGTCACCTTAGTGCTCTAATGGAGATGTACAACAAGATTAATGTTGTTTTCATGCCTGCTAACACAACATCCATTCTGAAGCCCATGGATCAAGGAGTAAATTTGACTTTCAGTTCTTATTCTTTAAGAAACCCATTTCATTAGGTTATAGCTGCCATAGATAGTGATTCCTCTGATGGATCTGGGCAAAGTTAATTGAAAACTCTCTGGAAAGGATTCACCCTTCTAGATGCGATTAAGAACATTCATGATTCATGGGAAGAGGTCATAATATCAACATTAATAGGAATTTGGAAGAAATTGATTCCAACCTTCAAGGATGACTTTGGGGGGTTCAAGACTTCAGTGTAGGATGTAACTGCAGATATGG